AAAAATGTCAACGTAGGAGAGGTTTTCCTACGTTTTTCATGAGAAATGATGTCCAAGGAGTGTAGGGTTTGGGAATTATGGCAGGTTTAAAAAAGAAATTGGGCGAATTTCAAGCACTCCTCCACTCTGTTTTTTGGGTTAAAAGAGGATTTTAAGGTTCCTCCCATTGAGTTCCATGTTAAAAAAAGAGTTTAAAAAGCTGAATATTTCAAAAAGTATAAAATATTTTGAAAAAGTTGAGCCAATACTATTGAGAGCCAAAGTATTGGTTGAAATAAGAAGAATAAAGATTCGAAGAACTATAGTGGACAGCATTCACACTAATAATAATAATAATAAGATTAAAGATTCTAAGAACTATAGTGGAATGCTGTAAACAGCATTCACATTAATGATGTGAATAAAGGACACATTGGTAACATTTATTTCACTGTCTTTTGAATACACATCATCATGATGTCCATACAGTAGGCAAGTCACCATTCAGGTTACTAGATGGCAGCCACAAAGCAGGAAGAGATATACTTCAGTGTAAAGTGTTACAGGAACTCTTCTCTCAACTAAAAAATGCATTTCCTGCTGAAAATGCGTGTGAATGCTGTAAACTGTGTACATTTGTTGCTGAATTTAGCTGAATATGTTATTAGTTGAATGGCATCTGTAGCTGCTTTTACTGTAGCTACAGAAACCAAGTAAGTGTGTTGCTGAACTTAGTGGAGAAATGCAGAAAAGTTAAATGATTTGAATCAAAATTGTTAGAGCTCAAATGCATTGCAATGACTTTGTTGAACACTTGAAAGTGAAATGTTAAACTGGAAGAGTAGGAAGAAAAGTGAAGAAGCTTTATATTCAAAAGAAAAGGTTTAAAAAATGTATAAACAACAAAATGTATAGCCTCAATGTCCTGAAATAGCTGAATAATGTAATAGTTGAATGGTTTCTGCAGCTGAAAGTAGGCTGAAGGAGTTAGATATTAAATGTAAGTAGTAGTGAATGAATGTGTATTAAGAAGAGAAAAGAAAGTAAAAAGGCTTTGAAAAGCAGCAGAATATTTTAACTGCATACTTGTTAACTAACTTGATGGCGAGTGATCTGTCGCCATGGCAACGGCATTTGATGAAACCCCATAATATGCTTTGATGTGTTGATCGTTACCAAACCTGGGAAGTTTTGGGCCGTTTGGAGCATTTTCACTGAAGTTATGAGAAAACCATGTTTCATGGTGAGCATTGTGTTGCCATGGCAACGGCATTTGAAGAAAACTCAAAACTGTCACGTAGATGTCTTCACGGCTGGACTGTTAGCACACGTGAAGTTTGAGCACTTTTTGACCATTTTCATAGGAGTTTTAGCAATATCGTGTTTTATGGCGAGGGATAGCTCGGGGATTGCCATGGCAATAGCTTTAGAGGAAAACTCACTATTGGCACATAGACATGTTGAGGGCTGGACCATTAACCATTATCTGAAGTCTGGTGCTGTTTTGACCCTTTTCATAGGCGTTACGACAACATCGTGTTTTTTGGCGAGGGATTTCCATGGAAATGGCATATGGTGAGATCTCAGATTTGGCGTAGAGCTGTTGAGGCATGGACCGGTGATATACAAGTGAAGATTGGGGGATGATCGGACCATGTCAATTGGAGTTACAGCGACATCGTGGTTTATGGCGAGGGATGCGTTGCCATGGCAACACCACATTATGTAACATCAGATTTGATGTAGAGCTGTTCAGGGCCACAGTGTTAACCATCATGTGATGTTTGGTGGCGTTCTGAGCATGTCAGTTGGAGTTATGACATCATCGTGTTCCATGAAACAGGTGTTTATGTTTGAGCTAACGACATTATGAAACACCTGTGTTTGAGCCCAGAGATCAAAGGTTTCCATGGTGATGTGCAGTAATCAGTGAGAGGAGAGCCTTTCCATTGATCTGAATGAGAGATAAACCTCTTACATGTGAACGTTTTGTTGAAGAACCGTAGCAGATATCGGTGAAATTTCAACGCGTGTAGCGTCTCAGGACCCTGGCGAGCGTCTGAGTCTGCTTTTTATGTACTTTCGGGTCAATAATGTGGCCTTTTGGCAGATTAACTAAAGGTGTGCGGCTGCTGCTGTGAGGAAAGATCAGGCTGTATTTACAATGGGCCTTAATGGAGACATGTTGAACGTTTTTGTCACTTCATGCCCTCAAGAGGCATTTTGTTTAATTTATTTTTCAACGTAGGAGAGGTTTTCCTACGTTTTTCATGAAAAATTATGTCCAAGGAGTGTATGGTTTGGGAATTATGGCAAGTTTAAAACATTGTTTTGGGCGAATTTCAAGCTGTCCTCCACTCTGTTTTGAGATCAAAGCACTCTAGACTTAACGAGCTGCGCAATACACACTAATGTTAAAATCTGAAGAAGGCCTCTTTACCTAAGCAGTCGCAAAACAGTTGTGTGATTACTTAAAAAACAATGATTTATTTGAAGATTTTCAGTCTGGCTTTAGAACACATCATAGCACAGAGACAGCTCTGGTTAAAGTCACAAATGACCTTCTAATAGCCTCAGACAAAGGACTTGTCTCTATTCTTGTCTTGCTCGATCTCAGTGCTGCATTTGATACTATCGACCATGATATCCTATTGCAAAGACTAGAGCACTTAGTTGGCATAAAGGGAACTGCTTTAGGCTGGTTTAGGTCCTATCTATCTTCTTTTAATTTTTTTAACTTTTTTTTAATTTTTCATACATAACATCAATAGAACATACATGGAGATGCTTACATAACTGCAGCTGTTGTACACCAGGATTAATCATTCATGCCCTCCTTGGGCACCAAAAGGACATACAGTTTCTTAATGTTATCAATTTCTATATTGTGCAAACATTATCAACATATTACAGACATTATCACTCCCCCTCATCGGAAACATGATCGCACAATACCTGAACCATTATGATAGTAAGAGTCAGTGCTTTACCATCCAGATGAAACAAGTACAAGTGCAGTGAATCAAATAAATGAAAAATAAATAAATAAAAATAAATAAGTAAAGAGGTGCTGCTAGAGATCTGGTGTTGCTTGTATTAATGGGGACCATTTTTCTTCGAATGTATCAGTTTTCAGCTGTAGTCTTGCTGTGATTTTCTCCATCAAATAAACATTTTTTACCCTGTTTCTCCAGTGGACTATATTGGGGGGCTGCGGTTTCAGCCACGAGACCGTTATCATTTTTTTCGCAATTAGAAGAAGAATTCTTAGTAAGAAAGCTACATTTCTGTCCATATCACTGGGCAGTATACCCAGTATATAAAGTGCTGGGTCCAAAGTAAAGGTAATGCCCAGCACCCGTTTAATCTCCTTTTGAACATCCTTCCAGAAGCCCTGAATGTTTGGACAGTCCCTAAATATATGTCTCCCACCCGTCCACAGCCCCTCCAGCACAAATTAGAGGTATTGCTATATTTTGAAGTGATAGATGGGGTGTTAAAATATCTAATTTTCACCTTCCAATCAAATTCCCTCCATGTTGGACTGTTTGTTATTGTCTGTCCCACCTTGAATGTTTCTTCCCAATCCTCGTCGCATATTATAATATTCGCTTCCAACTCCCATTTTTCTTTGACATCCTTATTGTTGCCGTTACATTCATAATGTGGTACCTTGTAAAGTTTTGATATAGCCCCTTTTTTTGTCTCGTCCCCTGTATATGTCATTAACAGTTCCTCTAGTTTAGATGGGGCTTTGCGAATGTTTTCCCATTCCTTATGCTTCTGAAGGTAATGTCTCAGTTGCAGGAATCTATAAAAGTCACAGGATGGTAGGTTAAATTCCCTTGGAAGCAGGGAGAGGCATATACGTGCCTCAATCCCTGCCGAGTCGACGCACAACTGTTGACTGGTGTCAGTGCCAGAAACACTTTTTAGGAGCAATGCGCTCATGGTATAGATGTAATTTGGTTGTGTGTGTAGACGGTGGAAGCAGGGAGAGGCATATACGTGCCTTGATCTCTGCCGAGTCGACGCACAACTGTTGATTGGTGTCAGTGCCAAAAAAACTTTTTAGGAGCAATGCGCTCATGGTATAGATGTGGCGCATACATCTTAGTTCCTACTCTTTTCCCTCACCCTATCCCAAGGGAGTGCATGTACGTAGACTCGTTTTTTGCTGCTATACGCTTAGACTGTTGGGGGACACCTTACTTTTTCCTTCTGTCTGTCTGTACCTGTGTACTCTCATGTTCCGAATAACCCAGCTTCCCCCAAATTTCTTTTTGGTGTCTATCTACGCCGGGACCCTGAGTCGTGGCTGATCCTGTTGCTGTGGTCCTGGATCCTGCATCCTGAGTCCTGGATCCTGGATCCGGAGTACTGGATCATGAGTCCTGGATCCTTAGTCCTGAGTCCTGGATCCTGGATCCTGTGTCCTAGATCCTCTATCCTGAGTTCTGGATTTGAGTCCTGGACTTCGAGTCGTGGCTGAAGCTATCACTGTGGTCCTGCCTGTCTCTCATCATACTACTTCCCTGATGGCTCCCACAGGATTGTTGACATCCTCGTGGATTCATCTTCTTATTATAGACACATGCATTTCCAAACATTTGGTCTACCTATGCTGTAAATGTATTATCTCTTCGGTGCACACGGCATCTATTGCACGTCTGTCCGTCCTGGGAGAGGGATCCCTCCTCTGATGCTCTCCCTGAGGTTTCTCCCATGTTCCTTTAAACTGTGGGTTTTTCTCTGGAAGTTTTTCCTTGTACGATGTGATGGTCTAAGGACAGAGGGTGTCGTATTGTCATACTGATATTCTGTACAAACTGTGAAGTCCACTGAGACAAATGTAACATTTGTGATATTGGGCTATATAAATAAACATTGATTGATTGATTGATTTACCAAGCTCCAAACTAAGTTAAATATCTCAAAAAGTGTAAAAGATATGAAAAATCGGAAGAACAAGTTTTATAGCTGACATCTTTTCTTTGTCGTTAATTCTCTTTTTTTCGTAGTTTCTCAGATGGTCATTGAAGAGGTCGGTGCCATTCAGGAGCACCTGGAGATCGAGAGGACGTGTAGAGAAAGTGCTGAAGCCCTGGCCTCTAAGGTAAGATTTGTATTTAGACAAATTACTGCTCAAAGACAGAGACAGCTGTCTGTGCTGCTTCTATAATGCCTAACCTGGTTTCACAAACTCTTGTTGAATTAAAACAAGGGAATTAAAATTAAGGGGAATTGTAGGATCTGTTTAATTAAAGCGGTTAAGTTAAAGCATCAAATCAGGTAGAGACATCAAAGTCAACTTTAATGTCAATCTTTCAGTTTGTGTGTACAGACAGAGAGATCGAAATAACGTTTCCAACAATCCCGAATACAAAAATACAATAATACAAATATACAATTATATATACAAATATGTATAAAATATGTATATCCTAAACACAATGTCAGTGTTTTCAGACACCTTCACTTTGGCATATTCAATTTGTATGTAGCAATCAAAAGCACTCTGTAGTCCTCCATTTCTGCTTCTGTCACCATATTTTAGTGTCTCAAATTGCATTGCATTCTTTTGATTCAGAGCAGACTTCTTTGGAGTCCTTGCCAAAATGTGAGTTGTGATTGAGAGTGGGGGAGCCTGGCACATAGTGATTTTGCAGCCCACTGATGCTGAGCCTGTCACTGTAATCATTTCTCATTCAATTTCTGGACAAAAGCCCCCACAGTCCACCTGGTTGGACCAGATTTGGGGCGATGGGAGGTTGAGGGTTGTTATGGTGAAGGTCGACTTTTCTGGCTTTTTTCTAACCGTTTTTACCACCAGCCTTCCTTTTTTTTTCTAGTATTTGTCATCCTCGCCTTAATGGGATGGAAAGAAAGATTGGTACCCCTCAGATGACCACACTGTATCAGGGTTTCATACCTGATGGTTAACCTTTTGTTAATCTATGCTAAGTCCGTCAGTGGCTCAGTCAGTAGGGGCTTGGACTGTGAGCTGTAGGATTGCCGGTTCAAGTCCCTGAACAGCGGGGGTGGTGCCTTTCAGCCTTCCACCACGGCAATGCCCAGGAGGTGAACTGAGATATCTTCAAGTACCAGTCCACACTCCATATTTATGTCTGTACATTTGGCATATGTTACACAGTGAGACTTTAGGAATCAATAGAGGGAAGGGGAGTGGGTCAGGGTTGTAGCAGATGTAGATCAATCGGACTATTCTTGTACATGCTGCATTTGGAGCATTTCTTTCAAAGTAAATATTCAAATACTAATCATAAACACACACCTTCTTTTCAAACAAAAACAGGAGCCTTTCAAAGCCGTCCAAATATGCAACACATTTTTGTCATAGTACTCTTTACAAATATGAATATTTGTAACATTCATGGTTTGCAAATCAAATATTTAGAAACCTATCACATACTGTAGAATCAAATGTGATTAATTGCCTTAGAACATGGGAGTTAAACCCACATACCTTGTTTCACATTTATTTTCCCACCCAACTCAAATTGGCTTCAGAAATGATATTATATGTTTGGGGCGTTGTCCACTGGACCTGGGGGGGCAGGAATAAAGCAGCCCACTGGTCTGACAGCAGGATTCATCTTTATCTTCTTAAGAGTATGCTGGCTGAATGCTCGCTTCATGGCAGTCTAATGCTGCGTTCACACCGGACGCGATGCGATGTTTGGGGGCGGCGCGATTACATGTAAAGTCAATGCAGAGACGCGGACAGACGCGAATCCGCTCCGACGGCGCGCATGAAGCGGTGGACGCGGCGCGATTGAGGCGATTGAACGGTGCCGCGTTAAACGCGAGAGTTCAATTTGTTCAACTCGAGCGTCAAATTCACGTGACGCGTTCTCGCGGAAGCCAATCAGCGGTGAGGATCTCAGCCTGCCGTCACTGACGTTCAACCACACAACATCAGCCGTTAGCTGTTAGCAGTTAGCACACAGAGCTCACAGCTCCTCATATCTGTTCAGAAACCGGACAAAAGTTAAACAAGTACAAACCACAGACTGTCTGTGTCATGGCGAATACAGTCGCTGGTTTATTTATGTCTGTAGGCCGTTGTTATGAGTGTGGAATGAGCATATACAACGTTAGCTTAGCCTGGTCGACCCGATCTTCATTCAGAAAACACGCATTTTAAAAGGTTTTTCGCCTGCCGTCTTGTCTGCAGACTTGTCAAGCATTAAATCATGGTTTTTACTGACCGGTATCAGTATGTTGTTACTTCGGCATCATTTAGAAACGTGTATTACAATTTAATCACGGTAAAATATGTTCATTTTGTTGTAGTTGTAGCTCCCGAGACAGCGCGTCTTGTTTGAATGATGCGAGTAAACACAGCTGGCAGCCGCGGTGAAACTCGAGCGTTTAGAGCGATGCGATAGGAGCGATTAGAGCGAAGCGAATATTCGCATCGCGTCCGGTGTGAACGCAGCATAAGTGACTGCTCTTGTTCCAGCTGTATTTGTTGTCTTCTGCTCAATGCTTCTTTGCTCCTCTGCCTCAAAATAAAACTGTTTCTATAACTAGACCCTTCTCTGCCTTCCTTTCTAATACAGCCGAGTGTATGAGCTCTCGCTGGGGGGGGCACTGGCATCCATACATTAACTATTCACTCACTTTAGTTAAAAGCAATACATGTATTCACCATTAATCCAAGTACTGTGAATAGAATAGGGTTAGATAAGTGATCAGCTTTCACTGCTCACCATTCAATAGTATTTCAGCAACATTGTAAAATAACCACAGATGCACTCTGACGGTTTGTTACTGATTTACATTTAAATCAAACCCAAGATACATAAGGGGGTGTTTCCAGAGGAGGACTGACAAAATTAAACTCTGTATTAATTTCTTTCTACCTTATGATGGTAATTGCGCATATCAAATGTTCCCAAGACAAATCTTCAAAGAAGCAATTTCTTAGCTCCTCAACATTTAAATTTAAAAGGCAATTGGAGGGAGTTAGCTATTTGCAACCAGTCAAATCAGACGGTGTTTTCTGTTGATGTGCGAACAGCGCTACGATGAAGGGGCTGTGACTTTTTAACAGTGACCTCCTGAAAGTTCTAGCCTGATGCTATGTCATCCTTGATTTGTCTGAGTATGTAATTTTTTATGTACATCTCTTGCGAATTGTAGATTATTACCAAAAGAATGTGATTCCATGTTATGTATTGTTGATTGCATTTCAGAAAAAAATATGCAGTCTGAAGGGCATCATCAAAAGATGGAATTGCTGCAATCTGCTCCCACCAGGATGCCATTAATAAATGTTTCTTTAATGGCGCGCCTTTTCCATCTCTCTTTTTGTCTCCTCTCCAGGCACTTTTCTTTCTCTTCTCTTCTTCTGCATAATTGGCACCCATCTCCTTCCTCAGGCTTCATTCAGGTTTTGCTTAGTGATGCTCTCCTTATGGCCATCCGATGATTGAACTTTAAGAAATGGATTGGCCATCAAGGAAGTTAAGTGTGTATGCTTCATGTAAAAATGATCAATCTGCAAATCATTTCCAAGGCAACACCACATAAGAATACGTGTTAGAAGTGATAATAACACAGAAAAACATGATGCACAGAAATGCTAGATGCAAATACATGTAGCATCAAAAAACTGTGATTACATCGAAAAGAGAGATATTTGCTGCCTTATTTGGGGTCTGCTTGTGCGCCTTTTTTTCACACCTTATCATTGCTTTGCATGCGTCCTGTCATTTTGCCTGATTGCAGGGCCAAAGAAAAGAGGAAATCAACAACATCTCATCTGTCTGTCGCTCCGCTACCTTATTTCTTTGCCTGTTTTCCACCAGCTAAATACAAAGCACACTTGTCGCTTTATGCAGATTGGAGAAATGAAAGCGCTGTAAGATGCAGGCTCTGTCAGTTTTCATAGGACTCATGTCATCTATTAGGGACAATGTGCGGGATATGCCATACATTGTTCATGTGGCTGCACAATGTAATCTGTGCTGAGGTATGCTGAGTGTATTCATCCTCTTCACTCAAACTATTTATACTAATGGTCCGCGTAATATCTATGCCATTATTTTCCATTCAAAGGAGTCTAATCTTTGAACAGTTTAATGTTACAATGTGAGTGTTTGTACTACCTTTGCAAATGTATCATGTCCAACACATTCAGAAAGCTGTTATCTGCTTTCAAATGATCAGTTGTTTACATCTGTCCGTCCATCCTTTTATTTCTGATGCCTCCATGTGTATTTCAAAATGTCATTATACAATATTAAATACTATATATTAAATATATATAGTAACTAATGAATAACATGAATTTTAAAAGCGCTACTTTATACTAGGCTTTTTATTTTAAAGTTCTAGACTTTTAAATGTGATTTCATTGTGGGTTTCTGTTTTCAACAACGCTTATTCCTTATACAGTTTTTGAAAGAAACAGAGTGTAGGCTACAGTTAGGCTCTGAGGTTCCTCTGTTAAAAGATGGACATGGAGTTTGGCTCAGGGCTCAAATTGAAAAAAAAGATGGTTGAACTTTAAACCCTGAGGAGAAAGCTGAGATGTCAGATCTTTTCCAGCAGCTAGACTACAAAGTGCACCTGCACTACAGCACACTGTCACTCTACACATGTGCAGGACGAAACACAACCATGTGTATCTGCATGTATTAGAAAAGTGGCTTTTGTAAGATACAGTATGTTGAATTACTACTCATGATATATATATATATATCAGGGATGCAAACTCATCAGGTATGAAAAAGGTGACAAGGATCCGAGCCCCCCGACCCCACGGAATATCGGCTTTAAAATGAGGAATAACAGATGATTTTAGCAGTCAGAACAACTAAAGCAGCAGTGTTAATAATAACAGAAACGCCAAAGAGTCACATCTAATAGAAATATATAAAAGCATTTATTTTTAATTGTGTAGCAGTCAGTTTATAATTTTGGCAGCACTGTTGAGCATTTTGAAAATGTATTTTCATGCCTCTGTTCAAGGCTTAGTCTTTCTATCTGTATAGCCAGTGGTGTAAAGTAACTAAGTTCATAAACTCAACAAGTACTATACTTGGGTACAATTTTGAGATACTTGTACTTAATTTAAGTATTTCA